TGCACAGGCAGAGGGGAGGGCCCAGAAGGGAAGCAAACACTTCTATTTTAGCACATGCAGAACTGAAAGTGCAACGCACACACTGTCAGCGACCGTGTCCTAGCAGCAAGGCCCCCAAAGCGCCTGGGGGAACACAAACCCGCAGTGCTACTGAGCTGTTCCTCAGGGCCACATGGGAGGGGGCTGCAGCAGAGGGTACATCTTGTGGAAGGCAAGCTTCCAGAGTTTCACTTTAAAATGCACACGAGCTTCTTAACAAGAGACAAGGTCCAAAAGGGCCTTCCAGCCCTCATGTTTGGCTCCTAAATAAAAAGGGGACTGCTAAAACCTCACGGCCTTAGAGCTGACAACAGCAGCTCCTGCTCAGCTAAAGCATCCAGTGCAGCAGGACTCCAGCCTGAGACTGAGAAATAAAGGGTCACTTGACCTGCCAGAGCCCTTTAGGGCTCCATTTGACTGTACTTTTCCTCATCTTCAAAAGCAAAAAAATTCTGTTTTGAACTGGCCCCAGTTCCCAAGCTACTGGACCCTGCTTACCTTCTGGGCAGCAACATGACACAAAATCACATTCTCTCCGCAGATGACCAGAAATCACAGCTGAGGATCTCCAGCTCTGTGCAGAGAGGCCACGTGCAGCTCTCGTGCCTCCTGCTCCAGGTCAGGCCTTCTAGAACACATGCCAGCCTTGTAGCCTTTTGCTCACCACTTCCTAAACTGTCAGCTTGCTTCTAGACTCAGGCATAGAAATGAAGGCTCCCATGTGAGGGACGGCACCTGCTCCAAGCAGGTGCTCCCCAGCCTGGCCACTACCCTGCCCCACTCCAAGGGTGTGTGCTGTGCCCCCAGCTCAGTTCCACAATCCACTTCCAGAGCAAAGGCCGCAAACCCAACTACACCAGACAAACACAAACACTGAGCCATTTCCAGTACCACACAAGTGCCTCTCGGCCTGGCCAGCCCAGCACCTGCTGCTCAGACACACTTGGTCTGGCAGCAGACTGCAAGGAGATGCAAGAGGGACAGAGGGAAATAACACTCAGCAAACACCCAGGTCCTTGCAGGGAGATCCTGGGATCACCAGCTGTGCAGCCAGGCAGACCTGCCCTGCACTACAATCCTGGTATCAGCTGGAGCCCAACCCAGGGCTCTGCAAACGTTTCCTGGGAGAGCCAAGACCACGGGTCAGGCAGGCATGGGTCCAGACGACCAACCTTACAGGGCACTCACTGCCCAAATGGCCTTGGTGGGTCACGTTGGCTGCCCATGGCTCCAGGGGCTGCAGCAGACGGGGGGCTAGAGGGCTATGCCAGAGGCCCAGGATGACAGTGTCCCCAGCACCAGTCAGCAGTGAGCCACAAGGCCGGGTGAGGGGGTGCACTGGCCCTGAAGATCCCAGGAACCAGGTGGGTCCCCGGAACCAGGCACTGCAACACTCTCAGGGCTCTGCTTCTGCCGCTGCTGTGGCAGGAAAGGCAAGCGTGGTTGTGCCAAGAGAAACACTCCTTGGCCATCACCTGGCCCCCCACCAGGTCTGTGGAGAGGCAAGGATGGGCTCTGTATGAGGGAAGAAGAGGCCAACTTGAAATTTGGAGCTACAACCACGAATTACTGACAACATGCTGAGAAATCCGGCAACCCAGCTGACTACTGGCACAGCAGGAGTCAACAAGAGGGGACCAGAGTCCCAGGGCCGGGGGTTCTAGATTTGGAACCACTGGCGCTGCCTCAGGGTCTCCTTCCCTGAGCCGCCAGGGCCTCCTGCTGGGTGGGAAGGGATCGCTCCACCACACACACCGCTGCTCGTGTCCCGTCCCGTCCCCTGTGGCGCGGGTCGCCTGCAGCTCCGTCCTCCCCGGACAGCCCCCGGACAGCACCCCGCTCACCGCGAAGGCGATCTGGCACAGCTTCGCCACCCACTCCTCGCTCTGCTGCTTCTCGGCCGCGAAGAGGAAGGTCCGGTCGCGGGTGTCCAGGCGGAAGGTGGCGGTGCCGGCGCGGGGCCCGGCCTCGCCCACCGGGGCCACGCTGGTGCAGTCGCTCAGGCGCACGACGGTGCGGGCGAGCCGCCGGGTGCCCGCCCGCCCGGCCGGGGCCGGCTCCTTGCAGTCGAACACCTCGAGGCGGGCGACGCCGTGCTGGCTGGCGGGGTACAGCGCGGACCAGCCGCGCTTCCACCGCTGCGGGGAGCGGGGTCAAAGCGGGCCGGGCGCGGCTCCGCAGGGCCGCTCGGCGGGGCCGACAGCTCCCCGGGAGTTGCCCAGCCGGGGCAGCCCAGCCGGCCCGAAGGCAGGGAGGAGGGGAGGGAGGGAGAAGGGGAGCCTCGGACTCACCTTGGCGCCGAACTTGTGGCTGTGCTGCACCAGCAGCGGCCCCTCCATGGCCGGCGGCTCCATCCCCGCTTCCGCCCGCCAGACAGGCCCGGGGGCGGGCCCAGGAGGGGCCGGGGGCGGGGCCGGGGCGCGCCGGTCTGTCTGTCCGTCTGTCTGTCCGTCTGTCCGTCTGTCTGTCCGTCTGTCTGTCTGTCTGTCCGTCTGTCCGTCTGTGCGCGGGGGTGAACATGTGTGTGCGTGAGCCCTGCCGAGAGCGGGAGGGACGGCAGAAGGTGACGATGCTCGGGGACTACTGACTTGAGCCTACCCTGAGGATGTGAGTGTGACAGAGGCGTGTGGTCGCGCTGGAGACAGGAAAATGTGATTGGATGGACTGAGGATAAGTGAGGGCAATGTGAAGAGCAGGTAGAGGATGGATGAGGTTTCAGAGGACAGGGATAACGAATGATGTCTTTGATACAAGAAAAAAGGAAGTGGATAACTAGAGGCCACTTAGCTCAACTTCATAATCCAAGAAAACCATGGAACAATTAGCCTGGTGCTCCCAGAGAGAGCAGAGAAAGGAAGAAATCATAGCAAACACCCCTGTGTATGCACAGCTCTGCCCGACTTCCTTCTGTGACCATGTGTGGATGGGGTAATGTCATCCACATCTCTCTACCTCCAACCATGCCATGTCCCTGGGCACCAAGGCTGTTCCCAATGCTGTCCCTGCCATGGCTGGCCACTCCAGTCTGCCCCAACGGCCTTCTGCAGGGCTAGGCTTGAGTCCAGCATTCCCAGCAGGAGGTGGGATAGGTGCTGACTGTGAGGCAAAGGGCAAGGACCAGCATGGCCTGTGTCCAGCACACCCCTGCAGCAACTCCCTGGGCATGGATGACCCACCCTGGTAGTGCCGAGCTGCTTTCCCATAGCACAGCTGCCTGTCCGACACCCAGCAATGGTTTTGATCCCTGTGTGTTTCTGGTTATGAGCCCCCAGTCCAGGGGCTGAGGCTTTCAGTGCTCTGTGCTCTCCTTGCTTTATGCAGCCTCCTTGGTGCTGTCCTGTTGTGCTTTGGGCAGACCTTGCTGACTCACAGTGCACTACGATGGCTTGGTGGCACTCTGATGGCACTGTGACCCTGCCAGGTTACTGCTGGTCAGTTGCTCTTGGCTTTCTTGCAGCTTTGATGGCCCAGACGCCATGACTTGGTTTCCTGGCATGACATTAACCTGCAAAGGCAAGAGGGAGAAGCCAGAGATTCAGAGTTTCTAGGCCCCTGATGCCCACTTCTCCTGTGCAAGCCCATGCCTCTGGCTTAGATGAAATGGCCACAGGTGGGGGCGGCTGCTGTGAGGGAGCTTGGCAGTGCCTTGCTACAGGAGTGTCCCTCTGCGCCCTCCTGGCTCCATCCCTCACACTTGCATGGTAACAAAGTTGTGTACCTGTGTCCTGGTTTAGGAATGGCATTCTCCAACTTAGTGTTTCCACTGAAAAAAATCCAGACCATGAACTGGTCACTGGCTGCCACACCCTCTCCCTGAGGCGGGATGGAGAGGAGCTTTGGAGGCACAAAAAACTAAAGATCAGGAGTTGAGATAAAGAATAATTTACTAGAAACAGCAATGAGATGAGAAAAAGAACAGTAACAATATCGATAACAGTGTACAACACAGGCAAACGATTCACACGCCATTGCTCCCCACTCGGAACCAGGGTGCCACCCGACTGCACACACACCAGCAAAACCGGGAAAAACCCCACCCCATCCCTGCACCCGCTGCATGAGGTGAGGTGGTATCGAATAACCTCGGGGTCCTGCCATTCCCCTTCTGGCTGCTACAAAAAAAAATAAACCTGCACTGGCCGGAGCTAGGACAATTCAACTCTTGTGTTATGGCACCATTCGGCTCGGGGAGGCTGCAGGGATGCTGCAGAGCTCTGATCCACCTTGCAGTGAGAGAGACAAACAGGAAAAGTGGACAGAAAAAGAGCAAAACGATTTGGTGATGTCAAACACACAGGCCCGTGTGTAGGCAGGTCCCCATGATGTGCAGCTGCAGGACAGGGAACTAATGATGTGGCAGCACTTCTGCAAACCAGAACCTGTGGGGCAGAGAGAATCATGAGTCAGATGTGTGTCAGCAGCTCAGAGCAGGGTGGCACAAGGCAAACAGCAGCCTGACATAGGCAGGCAGGTGAGTCACCTGCAGGGCACATGGATAGGCCTGAAGGCATGGACCTGGCAAACCTAGAGAGGCATCACACCGTGGACCTGGCATGAGGGTGCAGGCAGGGCAGGTGCCGGCTCAGCAGTGAACCCTTAATGGCACACATAACGCCCTGGGGCTGTGAAGTCCCGGGAAGCTGCAAAGGCAGGAATAGGCAGAGCCCCGGGGCTGCGCAGGCAGAAGGCCCGCAGCCGGAGCTGCGGGGAAGCCTGGGCTGGCGTGGCACCACCCCGGGCCCCGGTGCCCCTCGGGGGGGAGGAGTTCTGGCCCGGGGGGCTCCGGCCCTGCGGCTCCAGCATCGCCTCCCGGGGGCTCCGCAGGGGCTCCGAGGCCGCCCCGCTCAGCCCCGCGCCCCGGCCCCGCCGCGGCCCCACCCGCGGGGCCGCCCCTTGCGCTGCGGCGGTCGCGTCTCCGCGGGCGGGGCGGGCGCTGGAGCCGTCCCTGCGCGAGCCCCTCCGCGCACCCTCCATCCCCCTCCAATACTTCGTCCGTCCGCGCCCTTGTCCGTCTCTCCGCGCATTCCTCTGTCTCTTCGCGGTTCTCTCCATCCCTTCGCGAGTCCCTCTGTCCCCCCGCGCATTCCTCTATCCCTCCGCTCATCTCTCCACGCATTCCTCCATCCCTCCGCTCATCCTTCCGCGCACTCCTCTATCCCTTCGCTCATCAATCCGTCCCCCCACGCACCCTGTGCCTGCCTCCGCGCTGGCAGGGCCGCTCGTGCGCGGGGATGGCGGGGCGGCCGCGCTTCCTCTGCGGCGTGGTGGAAGGTAGGTCCCTTCAGGGCCGCGGCTGGGGCCGGTGCCTCCCCGCCCCGCCCCGCCTGGGCATTGCAGGGGCTGGCCCGGTCCACCCAGGGTGAACTGGCGCCGGGAACGGCCACCGAGACCCGCGCCTGGGTCCCCGGCTATGTGGGAGGTGGGAGCCGGGTCCCTGCACAGCATCCCATCTCTGCCAGGGAGACGGGACCAGCACCCCCCGTGACGCTCCCAAGGACCCCCAGAGCACCGCTGAGCCCCGCAGCCACCCCAGCGGAGCCGGTTCCCCCAGAGGGGCACGGGGACCTGCTGCTCGGTCTCCAGTTCTCTGCCGGGGATTCTTATCTGCCCTGGGCTCGGGCAACTTCCCAATGTGCCTCCCTGCCCACAGGGCAACAACGCTGGGGCTGTGCCCAGAGCTGATCTCTCATGGCAGTTCTGTGGGACTCAACCCTGTACTGCTCCCTGCCAACATCCCCAGCTTCTGTTTCTGCCACACAGTAACTCTGGAGCTGGGCAAAAGCATTGCCCTTTCTCCTATCAGCACAGTACCCTGCTGAGCCCACCGCTCACTGCCTCACCTGGAAGGAAACAGAAGCACCATGCAAATAAACACAAAATAAGGAAAAAGTGCAGGGGTGGGGAAGTTGACATGAGTCAGACAAGAATCACTGATATAGGAAAGCTGGCCTGGGAAAGGGGACATGGGAAAAGGATGCTGCTGGCAGAGCCACTCCATGAGGACACTGTTGTTGGGGCACTGGCAGGAGGACTGAGTGTCAAACTTGCCAGGCCACATCAGTTCACAGCAATGTGTGTGAGTGAGGCAGGTGCTGTACAGGGACTTCTGGGACCTCACTGGGAAATAGAAATAGCAAATTATTTATATGGAAATAACTTTTTTGGGTGAAATGTTTGCTGGGATCCTTGAGTGGCCACAGATTTGGCCTGTATACAGATGGCTAGTAAGGTGAGTGTATATTATTTCAAAGTAGATGGAGTAACCATGTAGATGTTCAGCAGATACGTCATCTGTCTGCAGGAAAGATAAGTGTGGTGGGTGTTGTGTACAACCCACCATTGCCCCCACTTGTGTTGGGGGCTGCGGGGTGGGCTCCTCCCAAAGGGAGCAGGGCATCAGGGCCCCCTCTCCCAGGCAAATGAGCTCCGGGGCACTCAGGTGCTTTGGGGAAACACAGGTGCTTTTCTGGGCAACACTGGCCACATGTCAGATGCTGAGAGCTTGTCCTTTTTCTGAGCCCGACAGAGTCACTGCGCTCTGTCCTTGTGCACCACCCAGTTTGGTGAATGTCATCTGCTCCCATTGGCCTTGGCTGCTGTGGGGTGCAGTGAGTGACTCAAAAGTTGCTTGATGAATGATGCAGAGCCCATCTGAAACCAGGAAGTTGCCTTGATGGCTAATTGTCATCGCTGTCCAAGACATAATGGATTTTCCATGAGACTTCACGTTGCAGCTGCCAGATCTTGCAGAGACTTGAAGTGACTGAAGATTCTCTTGCTAAATCTCAGGTCTGTGCTGGAACACGTAGAGGCTCCCCTTAACCTCTGCTTTGAGAAGCTGTCGAATCTGCATCTCTCCAAACGCATTGACCTGCCTATTCTCCCGCTGTCCCCAAAGGGTTTGCGTTCCTCTGGATATTCTTTCTCAATGCCTTTGTAGACAACTTTACATCTCGCAGTACAGAGTGGTCCCATCAGGGGACTGGGTGCTGCATGTCTGTCAGTGTCCTGCTTGTTATACCCAGTCAGAGACTGGTTCCTGCCCTGCAGGCTACAGGACACTATCAGCTGCTGTGCTGCTGCATTCTCAAGCTTGTGTCAGACACTGGTGCACAACAACCACCCAAACTCTGCAAGCAGCAGAAGGGGAAATGTTGAGAAACACTTGGGAATTTGCTGACTCAAGGTCTGTATTTCCTGCATTCAGTTTTGTTGATGTGAGCCTTCCAGAAGGGCAGTGTCCTATAGGCCAGCCTTGGTGCTCACTGATGGGTGTCTTTGCTAGCAGAGAACTGGGAAGGTTCACTTTCCCTCTTTGGGTTTTCCATTTGCAAGCTTAGGTGGCTGTGTTTTCCAGTGGGGGACAGACTAGGTGTCTGTGAAGCATTCTGTGGAGTCACAGTCCCAGCACCTGTCAGCATCCCCAGGGGTGGTTGTGTGTTCCTGATCTGAACAGTCTGCCGTTGGACAGGGATGCTGCCTCGCAGTCCTGCCCTGCTCAATGCAGGGATGTGTTTGCAGGGGTAAGGGAGAGCTGTGTCAGTGCAATTTTGGTGCAGTTTGAGTTGTGCAGCAATTAAACACACAGAAAACAGCTTTTGTAACCCATATGGGAGTGGTGATGCTCTGCCTGACATTACAGACAGAGAAATGCAGGGACACCGAACTGGTCTCTATAAAGAAGACAATCCCCAGGCAGAAAACTCTAGGATGGATGTTCGATGGATGTTTGCTGGCTCTGTGCTTCAGTGCACCCCAAAGTCATGCTATAGTGCCTTGTAACACGGTCAGCTCCCAACGCCTCCTCTAGGCTTGGCTTTTACTGTGCACATTCCCCCTCCCAGGTTAAACCCTACCTTGTGCAATTCTTCCCAGCTGCCCCTTTCTGGGAAGGATGGAAGCTTAGACATTAATGCACTTGCTCCAATACCAGTGCCAAGCAAGGTAATAGGAGGACAGCGGGTACTTGAATTACCCAGAAGTGAACAGCTGGAAGATCTCTGGGTTCAAGAGCAATCACTCAGAGATAGCACAAAGAGAGTCTGTTTTAAGGTGCTTCCCAAAAACTGCATTTTGCCTTTTTTTCCACATCTTTTACAGGTTTCTATGGAAGACCGTGGTCTATGGAACAGAGGAAACTTCTCTTTCAATGGCAAGTACCTTGAATTTTCCTCTCTGAAGGCAGCCCGTGGCAGAGTGCCGAGAAGGAGGCAGGAGCTGTGAGAGTGGATGGGCAGATGTGGAGCTGCCATGTACCAGCAGATGGTGCTGGGACTCCACACAGCCCAGTGCAGCCCGGTGTGCCCCGGTGGCTGCACTGGATGTGGGACAGTGCACCGCTGCCACCCTCCCTGCAGCCAGCCTGCCCTGCTCAGGGCCACTATCCCCGCCACCCCATGCTATATCCTGAGGCTGCCATCCCTGCCTGGTGTGGGTGGCCCTTCTGTGTCCCTGTGAGTCGCCATGGGGGTCTGTGTGTCACCCTGTGTCCCTGTGATGGAAGGACATGGGTGGGATCTGTCACTGGCTGAGAATCACCTCGGGATGGAGTTGGCTTGTGCAGCTCCTCTCTGAGCAGCTGGTCTGCATGCACAGACCATCAGTGGAATGAGCTGCACTGACAGGACCTACCACCAATGAATTGGGGCTCTGCAGGGCCTCCCGTAGGCAGCACAATGGTGACAGCCTGGGCACTGCACTGGTCAGTGTGGATATTGCCCTGGTGCCAGCATGGGCAGCAGGCTGGGGGTGGTGTGGAGGATGTGCTGGGCACTGTAGGGACAGTGCACTGGTGACAGTGTGCGCAGTGTCACAAGTGCATTTAAGGACCATAGTGCAGGGACCAGAGTTGCAATACAGAAAAATGGAAGACAGTCAAGCTGTAATGCTTTAAAGTACCTAAGGAATGAGAAGGTCTAACAATGGCCTCGTCTAGTGCTGGACTGGAATGTGTTATTCACATGATTGCACATGTGAGTGGTATGTTCATGGGTGTTTTTCTTATCTGGAGAAAAACGAGGGACTTGTGTCATGATACCTGAAGTGCTTCCTATTTTGTTCATCATAAGAAAATGTAAAACATTGTCTACTGAGGAGGATAAATAAATAAATATCTCAGATGTCTTCCACGCAGGAGTGCCAAAAGTGCCATGTACGAAGGTGTCTGCCCTCGCAGGGGGCACGTCCTGCTGGTCTCCCACACAAATCATAGGGCTCAGCACTGGGAGTGCTGGATGAGATTTATGTCTCCATGTGGCTGTGGCAGGGCTCCCTATGCCAGGACAGAGCTGCTGCTCCACGGGCTGCAGGGTCAGTGAGAGCAGACCCCGGCAGATATGGCAGCCTCGGGACACGGTGCAGCCCTGGGAAGGAGTGGGTGCTGTGTGCCGAGCAGCGCGTGGTGTCGTGGCTGGCACCTGCCCAGATGCCTCTTTGCAAAGAGCCTGGGTGACCCCTTGTTCTTGCTGCGCAGGCTGAAACGCCGGGGGCTGAACTGCTACATGTACGCACCCAAGGATGAGCTGAAGCACCGACTGCTCTGGCGAGAGCCCTACACGGAGCATGAGGCAGGTAGCGGCTCTGTTGGGCCCCATGGGGGGGCTGCAGGCATCCCAGGACCCTGAGGGTGAACCGTGGTCTGGGTCCCAGCCAGCACTAGGCTGGCTGCTACTTTCACCCTGCCACAACCCTGCCCATTGCAGGGAGGCCCCTCGACCTTGACTGGTGTAAGGAGACCTCTAGACCGTGCCCATCATGTGGAATTGCCTAGGAGCCCCCCCACCCCCATGGGGGTCTCTGGCAATATGCTTGAATACACTGAGTCCTGTAACCATTTGCAGAAGTCCTCTGTTCCCCAAGGAACTGGAAATGGTCTCCCCTGAACCTCTCCCCTCCCAATGTCCTCATCTCCTTCATTTCAAACTGCTGTGGTTTCCTCTCCCTCCATCCCTTGTTCCACTCCATCCCATGGTCCCCTGCCTCCCTTGGCTCCCAGCGCTCATAGACCCCCTCTGCTCTGTCCCCAGTCTGCATGCAGTCTCTCATCGAAGCTGCCCGAAATCAGGGAGTGGAGTTTGTTTTTGCCATTTCTGCTGGCCAGGACATGGTGTTTTCCAGTGCTGGGGATCGGCTCCTGCTGCAGCAAAAACTCAGGCAGGTACCGTGGGCCATTCCTTCCTCCCACTGCTCCCAGGCGAGAGGCACGCATGCTTGTGTGTGGGCCCTGTGCCCACCTCGAGGGCTGCTCTGGGGCTGTAAACCCCTCCTGTGGGTCCTGTGCCCACCCCAAGGGGTGGTGTGGGGCTGTAAACCACTCCTGCTGCTGTGCATCAGGGAACAGCTCTGTGGGGTGCCCGGTGGCCTATGTGCTGTCCCTGTCATGGTAACAGAGAGCTGAGGGTTCCATGGATGTCTGACTGGGGGCAGGATAAGGACCAGCCGAGCTCCAGCACTTGCTAGGCAGCACTGGGGACCAGTGCAGGCTGAAACTGAGCCCCAGGTCCCCAGGGAGGATAAAGAGCCGCTGGCATGGTGGGTTTGCTCCATGGGCAGCTCCTTCTCCCGTGGCACAGCCCAGCAGCTGCCCTGCACTGTGCCACGCCCATCTGCTTCTCCCTGGCTCTTCTGGGCTTGCTGCCTCCTCTCTCCCAGGGATCCCAGCAGCCCATGTCTGTGCCCGCAGGTGGCTGCCATGGGATGCTGCTCCTTCGCGCTGCTCTTTGATGACATCGACCCCTGCATGTGCCAAGCTGACCGAGACGTCTTCCCCTCCCTGGCACAGGCTCATGCCTCTGTGGCCAACGAGGTGTACCAGGAGCTGGGCCAACCCTCTGTCTTCCTCTTCTGCCCTACAGGTACTGCTTTCAGCCCTGTGGCCCCAGCCTCCCACCCCAGGGAGCTCACTCAGACTGGGGAGCCCTTGGGCTGGCTGCAGCCAGCCCATACCTCTACTGAGAGCTGAGTGCCCTGGCAGCCCCCATGGCTCTCCCTGGCCTCCTCATTCTCCCGGGGGAGCTCTAGTGATCTCAGGACTAGGACAGGACCTGGCTGCAGAGGGCCTGCAGCCATGTTTACTGTGTTCCCTGCACCCTGCTCCTCCCCAGCCCCTGTCCGTGATCCTGGCAACCTCTCCTCTCCCCGTCCCCTGTCCCTTAGGGGATGCTCTGTGCTCTCTCCCCAGAATACTGCAGCTCGCTCTGCTCTCCCAGCCCCAGCCAGTCCTGCTACCTGCAGACCATCGGCCAGGAGCTGCTCCCTGGAATCAGTGTCATCTGGACAGGTGAGTGCCAGGACCAGCTCTGTGGGCATGTGGCCCCATGCAGTGTTTGCAAACCCCATAGCCACGGGCTCTGACCTGGGAGAGCCACCAGCAAGCAGCCCCACCGTGGTGCCTCAGATCAAGGTGTGCAGCCCCAGCCAGGCAGAAGGTCAGGATGGAGGTTTCCTCTCCTGCTTTGGGAGTGTGGGTGGGGTGACTCGACCCTCACATCCATGCTCAGCGCTCAGAAGTGTCTGTGTCCCTGCTGCGTGTCTGGGATGGACCACACTGCCTGTGTACTCCATGTGTGTCCGTGCCCTGATGCTCCAGGCCCAAAAGTGGTGTCACAGGAGCTCTCAGCTGCTCTGCTGGAGGAGGTGGAGGGTGTCCTGCGGCGCCGTCCCGTCATCTGGGACAACCTCTACGCCAATGACTATGACTGCAGACGTGTCTTCCTGGGCCCCTACATGGGACGTGCTCCTGGCCTCATGCCCAGGCTCCACGGACTGCTTCTCAACCCCAACTGTGAGCTCCAGGCCAACTTCATCCCCATACACACGCTGGGCACCTGGTTTCAGAGTGAGCTGGGGAGTTGTGCCAACCCTGATCATACAGGTATGTGGCCCCAGTGCCCAGGCAGTTCTGTGTCTGCCACTTTTGGCAGGCCCTTTCCTGCATGGCAGCCTGGGTGAGGTGTCTCACCTGTCTGGGCACTGCCTGATGACCCTGGGCATGGGGTTCGTCCTGGGGGCACCTGCCAAGGAGAGATGCTCGCCCTCAGCATGGCTTGGGATAGCTCCATCAAACAAGGAGTGGGGCTGCCCAGGCTGATGAGCTGCAGTTCCCTAGGAATGGAGATGGTGGCAGCCCTGGGGGACAGCCAAGACCCACAGGAGAGGAGCTACAGCCCGCAGGAAGCCCTGGAGCTGGCACTGTGTGACTGGGTTGCTGAGATAAACCAGCAGGCCTTGGAGCCAGGTAGACAATGGACTCACACTCCCTCGTACCCCCACAGCGCTAGGCTGGCTCTGCTGGGAACTCGGCAAGTGGGGATGAGGGAGCCCCGTGCCCTGTCCCTTTGGATGGGTCTCTCAAGCTGGTGTGGCAGCAGGGCCTGTGCATGCTGTGGCAGGCAGGGGTGGGTGGGTATCCATCCCACTGTCCTGCCCTGTGGGTGCTCCTGCCCTGGCCACACCCTGCAGGGGGAGCCTGGGCCAAGACACAGCTCTGAAAGAGGGGATTCAGCCAGGAGCAAGCTTGGTGTTTTGCAGTGTTTCCCTCTGCAGTGACTGAGCTTCACCAGCCCCAGAGGCCTGAACTCAAACCCAGGGCCTGGTAGCTCCCTGGTCCCTGCCAGCTAAGAAGTGGAGCTCATCAGCACAGCCATCCCCAGGCTGTCCTGCCCCATGGGCAGCAGTTTCCATGCAGGTGCCAGAGGGGCTTCCGTCTTGCTCCTTTCTGCCAGGAGGAAGGACGCCAGGACACCCCAGTGTCGGCCTCAAGGGAAGACCAAGGCTGCAGCATGGCACAGCAGGAGGACAGGAGGTCGTGCCCGACCCCGAGCAACATGACTATGTTCCCAGTGGGGCAGACCAGCATGGCCCCGAGCCCGGTGATGTGGCACCAGGGGAGGGATGCAGGGAGGTGACCTCAGAGCCTGAGAAGGGCAGTGGGAGCAGGACACCCAGTGGCAGTCAGCAGAGCCCCACAGGGGATGGGGATCAGCTTGCCACGGGGAGCAGGGAATGCTGTGAGCACTCCTCTTCTCTGCCCCCTGTGGCTAGGAGTGGCCAGTCTGCAGGAATCCCAATGGCTACCAAGACCCTCCTCAGCCCAGGCCACACCATGAGTTCCAGCAATGGGGCCAACGCTAGTCAGAACCTTCCCTTGCCCACCAGTGATGCCATGACAGGGAGTGGCAGCCCCACCCAGTTCCCCAGCAGCACACAGCCTGAAGCCATCAGGGCTGACATGCCCCAGACACGCCCAGGGACTGGGGCTGGCACAAGCCCTGGACCCCCAGCCCCACTGAGTGAAGGGACTGGCGCCAGCCCTGGCCCCCTAGCCCCGCTGGCTGATGACATCACTGCTAGCTTTGGCCCCTTGGCACCAGTGACCCCAGAGGAGGCTGGATCCAACCCCACAGCACCAGTAACCCCAGAGGAGACTGGGTCTGCCCCCATGGTACCACTGACCTCCAAGGAGGCCAGGACCAGCCCCACATCACAGATGACCTCAGAGGATGCCAGGACCAGCCCCGTGGCACTGGTGACCCCAGAGGAGGCTAGGTCTGTCCCTATGGCATTGATGATCCCAGAGGAGTCCAGGTCCAAACCTGCAGCACCGCTGACCCCAGAGGAGGCCGGGTCCAGCCCTACGGCACCGCTGACTGTGGAGGAGGTGCGAATGCTGGTGGAGCTCTTCTACCTGCCCTACCATCACGGGGCACTGGCGCAGGAGCTCCTGGAGCACTTTCGGTGGCTCCGGGCAAACAGCCTCAGCGTGGGGGTCCCGGCCGTGTCGCCTGATGCCTGCGGGGTAAGGCTTGTCCGGGCGCGGCTTGCGGGAAGGTGCCTGTCACGGTCGGCTGACGCCCGGTCCGTCCCCAGAACGCGCGATGGCGGGGCCGAGCCCAGTCCTTCCAGCTGCTCTGCGCACAGACGTGTCGCCTGCACAGCCGCTTCGTCAGCGCCGCCAGCCGGGCACTGCTCTACGACCTCCACCCCTACCTCTGGGACATCCGCAACATGCTGCTAGCCGCCAGTGCCTTCGTCCTCTGGCTGGGTACGTGGCTGATGCCAGCCCCTGCCAGCCCCTATCCCATGTATCTGCACCCTGGCCAAGCCTAGCCATGTTGGAGTGCTGGGGCTCTGGGGCACACCCTGGGCACCTGAAGCTTGTTCTCTGGTGATCTGTTATTCCCCTGCTAAGGAGGTCAAGGTGTCTGGGACCACCCCAGAGTCTGGGGTCCCTGTGTTCAGCTGGGGGTGCCAGGGTCTCTCCCCTTGACACCTTCTCCACCGCTGCCCCGTGTTCTGTGCTCACCATCTCGCCTCCTTTGCAGACGGTCACCTCCTCTGCGACCCTGGCCCCAAGGGCACCTGGGGAAACTGCTTTGGCTGTAAGTAGGGGTTCTGCCCTGGCTTACCCACCTGGGGGTTCTGGCTGCTGCCCTCCATCACCCCCAGCCCCACAGCATTCACTGTCAGCCTGTCCTTCCCCACGCTCTGCCTGCCAGGTGGAGCAGGGATGGCCATGGGAAGGCTTGGCACCCCTGCGTGCCCTGACACACTGGGGCAGGATGAGGCCACTGCTGCTGGGGACAGGGCAGTCACTGGAGTAGCTCTTCACCACCTCTCACAGCCTGGAAGGAATGCCAGTTTCTAGGATATGGTTCCTCAGTCCTTTTAACCCAGGGACCCCTTAGCCTGTCTGGGAAAAGGGACCTATGGGCCACTGGGAGCAGTAGTGCCCTGGGTGAGAGAGGTGAGGCTGTTTTTTGAATGCCTGTACATCACTTTGGAAGCCCATGTTCCTCTGGTTTAGGGTTCTTTGGTTGCTCTGTGGGCCTTGTGACTTCTTATGAACCAAGAGCTGTTACCAGGTGATAGCCTGAGCGGGTCTCCAAGTTCAGTGTCAGAGAGTGCCTTGTTGCCTTGAGCCTCTTCCATGGGGAAGCAGCTATGCAGGGTGTGTTCCCACCATCCCTGCGGAGCTGGCTGGGCAGGACCGCAGCGCTCTGTGCCAGGCTGCAGCTTCCCAGCTGAACCAGGAGTTGTGTCCTTACCTTACACTTCTGTGGAGGTGAGACCAGTCCTTTTCCATCCCCCAGGTTCAAGCCCTGCTGTGGAAGGTGTGTGGCTGCCCCAAGAAATGGAGGTGGCTGCCTGAGCCCAGCTGAGGTCCCTGCCTGGGCACAGCTGCACGGCTAGGGGGCAGGTCCTTGGGGCTGTGACAGTGGGGATCGTGATGCTGCTGTGTGACAGTGGCTGATCTCCCCCTGCTTAGCAGTTTTTGTTCACCTCACGTGTGTCTGTGTCCTGCTGTTCCCAGGGTGCCAGAGTATCACTGCCCCAATCTCGCTGGGGAGGGACGCCGAGCCCTGGGTGCGTCGTGGGGGCCTCTTTGGAGAGCTGCAGGTGAGAGTGTGCCTCTCTCTGGGGGGCTGAAGGAGCCACTGGGAAGCTAGTATCCCAACTCTGCTTTGGGTTGCTGCAAGCTTGGGAAGGCAAGAGCTACCCTGGGCATCTGTGGTTCCTGGGGTTTAGGGAGCCTCAGAGAGACATTGGAACCAGGAAAACCTGATGGACTGTGTATCTTTCAGGCACTGCTGCCTGTGGGGAACAGCTATGACCTCTTCTACCACCCACCACCTCTCTTCCCGTCCAGCCAAATGTACCTCCTGCGTCCACTGCTGCCCTTGGACAAGGTGGGAACCATGGCCTGGAGGGGTGTCCTGCCAGAGCTCACCTTTGCATGGCCTGTGCTGCATGTGTGCTGATGAGTTACAGACTCATCTCTGCTGACCCTCAGTGCAGGGTGGCACAGGAAGGGAGGGATCTCAGGTCCAGCTCTGCTCAGTCAGCTGGCTTGTGGCAGCTCCCCGGGGCATGATCAGCAGTGTGTCAGACCCTGGGCTGGAGAAGAGGAGGTGTGGCCTCAGCAAACCTGCCTCTCTGTGACAAGGGTCTAGGCAGAGCAGGAGAGGGAGCCCTGCTTACCAGTGAGCAGCAGGCACAGCCACAGTTCAACCAGCACTAGGTCAGGGTTGCCAGGTTCTGGGTGATCTCCAGAGCAGCTCCAGTGCTGATCTCCAGCAGTGGCTGTGAGCAGATGCCAGGAAATACCCAGAACAGAACAAGTCTGGATGGCGACTTCCTGGAGCCTTCAATGGTCTGCAGCTCTGAGCACTGCCTGAGCCTGTGGGGGTTCATGTCCAAATCAGTCCCTTCTTGAAATAGTCATGCAGTTTATGGGGTGATTCCCCACTGGAGAGCATCAGCCTCTGTCAGTCATGACTTTCTTACTGCCAGCCCCCAGCTCTGACATCCCAATAGCTCAATTGGATGGGGAGGGAAAGGGAGATTCTGAATGTGAGGGGACACACAGTGACACCAAATCCAGCAGAGCCTGGGGTTCCCCATGTACCATAGCCAGCAGTGAGCACCCCACCCTCGCTCTGCTTCTCTCCCAGCCCAAGGAAAGGCTAATGCCTCAAATCCAGCCAGCATGGACATGAGTGCAGCTCCCCGCTAAACACGGCACCCAGCCATGCGCCGCTGTGGTGCTGCTCAGTAGCAGAGGAGGAGCTGCAAGCACGGGAGAGCAGATTGTAATCCCAGACTGTTCTGCCAGCAGTTCCCATTGTGGGGACTTGTTTGCAGTTGCCTGTTGTCAGGTTTCATCTGCTCAGGCTGAACCTTAACAACCCGAATGTTTGTGTCCAGTGAAACTCTGATAGGGAAATCCAGCCGAGCACATCAGTCTCTTGCGGGTATGGGGCACAGCAGGGCGCAGTCCTGCCCCAGTCATTGGGTGATGAGGGTAGCCTCCCTTTCGGAACCAAGGCTTTTATCTGAATGTCCTTTTCACTGGGAGCAGCAGCAAACTCAACCATGACCAAGACAGGACATTTGGGCCTGTCCCGCTGTGCATAGGCTCTTTAGAGACTTGAGTTCCAGTGTTGTTTTTGGGGCCATTCTGTCTGCTTTGAGTGTGCCCCGGCCTGGGGCCATCTCTGCATTGGCTGCTCTCTGAATGCCTGACCAGAATGGCAATCTCTGGTTCGAAGGGTGGCTGTGCTGTGGTCGTGAGCCCAAGGCTAACAGATGCCAGTGCACTTGCATGGCTGAAGGAGTACCTCCATACCCTCCCCCCTATCCCCTATCCTCCCCAGGAGACCACATCGTGGTCCTTCTCTGCAGCCCCTTTGGCAGCTGCTGGTGGGCCACACTCTGGCCAGGCCTGTTTTGGGAGCACTGGCAGTGTGGCAGGGCAGGTACAGCCAGGACTGAGGTGGGTCTGGGTCTTCCAGGGACAGCTTTACCGCATGTGCCGGGAGAGTTTGGACTGTGATCCCAAAGTGGCAGAGATCCTCATGGGCCACCCGGATCTCCTCGGTGACAGGTGAGATGTAGCCCCTCTGGGGCTCCCACTGGCCAGACTGTGCTGAGCCTGGCCATGTGCTGAGGGATGCAGGGCCAGGGGATGAGGCGGTGACCTCTCCTGGTATCCCTGTGGGGACCAGCTCTGCCTCTGGGCCATCAATGGCCTCACCCTGTGGGAGGAACAGGGAGGGACATGCCCATGGTGATATCCAGCGGGGTCATGGCAGCCACAGTGGCGGCAGACCCACTGTCCAGCCTGGATGCAAGAGACTGTGGTGGCTTCCCTTGGCTAAGGGTTTCTGCTGGGGATCTTGAAGGGGTGGTCAGTGGGCACTGGGTGCTGTCCTGCTGGGTCAGGAAGGAGGAGGCTGCTCTGAGGTTGCACTGGGGCAGGCTGGGCTCCAGGCACAGCTCAACTGTGCTCCTGCTCTGGCTGCCAGGTTGTTGGGCCCCTTCCTCAGCCTGAGCCCTGAGTACACCTTTGTGCTGGAGGACGAGGGTGGTCCGTGTGGCTACGCAGCTGGAGCACTCCACGCTGAAGGCTTCCTGCAACAGCGAGACAGCAGCTGGCTGCCAGCCATACGGGACAAGTACCCCCCAGACCTGGGCACGGGTGGCCCAGCTCTGGGACAGGTGAGGGGACACCTGGAGCAGATGGAATTGGGGATGGGGGCGGTGGAGGGGGTTCTCTCACTTGTGCTTGTCTCCCACAGGATGCCCTGGAGGAAGCAGTGCTCTTCTTCCATGCAGAGCCACTGGCTGTGCCCCTGCCTGTGCTGCGGCGCTTCCCCTCCCTGGTGCAGCTGGGCACTGCCCCCAGTGTGCTGGACGTAGGGGCCAGCCGCAGCCTGGCCCTCTGCCTGCTGAGTGCGCTCAGAGCCAATGGTGAGCGTGACCTCCCCGTGCGGGGGGGACTGGGACCCCCTTGATCCAGCACAGCCCTTTCCCAACTGCTCCCTTGCCCAACACAGAGTTAGGAGCTGGCCCCACCTGCACTCCACCTCTCAGTACAGGGCTCCCCATCACCACTCTGGTGCAGTCTGGCCCCAGCTCCCAGGCACCGTCCCCTCCCCTTGCACTGGGGGACATGTGGATCTGTGTCTCAGGGCATCACAGGGGCAGCCGGTGCTAAAGGGGCAGTGGAAAGCCTGACCTCCCTGTGGAGTGGGTCCCAGAGCTGGAGTCCCAGTGCCCTGACTTCTCACCTCCCTTCCAGGGTCGCGAGGAGTGTTCTGCCAGGTCAGTGACGCTGATCGACAGCAGCTGAGCTTCTACAGCAAGCTGGGCTTCGTTGCCCTGCCGGTGGCCTGGGGCAGCTCTCCCGGCACTAAGCTCCTGGGACGTCTCCTCTGATGGGGACACAGAGAGGCAGTGCCCTGGGACAGGTGGATCCCCCAGGACAGGCTGACCCCATGTCCCACACAGCATTGGCCTGAGGGAGCAGGAACAGATGGGCACTTTGAGCAGGTCAGGTACATGAGAGAAGAGACAGGGCATGGGGGTGAGCAGGATGTCACTGGGATGCGTGCAGGGCTGTGAGGGTCCTTCAGCAGCAGAGAGCTATTTCTGCCATCTCAGGAGATTTGGGCACCAGGGCCCCTCTGTGCCCCCCTAACTGTTCCTGCTTGCTGGGCACCCTCCACCTTTGCTGGGCAGCCAGGCTGTCTGCAGCCCCCAGGCCTGCTGGAGCCCACAGGCAGTATTTGGGGTGGTGGTCCTGGAGCACAGCACGGTGCTGTGTACTATGGGAGTGTGCCTGTCACACAGGCTGGGCTGCATGGCTCTCTCCATCCCCCAGGTGGACTGAGGGTGGGCAGCTGGTGCTGGTGCTGGCTCTTGGCCCCAAGGACCTGCTTGTCTGTATGGACCAATCTAGTGTGGGGCACGGTGAGGCACCCTCCCTCTTTGTGCCTGGGGCCTGAGGGGAGCGCTGTCCTTGGCAATAAAGTGTTTGCTGGGCTCGTCCATGGCTCCTCTCAGGGGAAAGGGTTTGGGTGTCAGCAGGTCCTTTTCACACCCTCGCGCCCTCTCTCCACCTCACAATGGCTGTTGTTACAGTCGGTCCTCAAACAGAGCAGCTCCCCACACATCCACAGCCCCAACCGCGCACCAGCTCCACTCTCCGGGAAGGAGCTCCGGCTGCTGGCACTGTGCGCTCGCAGCCCCAGCCCTGTGCCGTGGGGTTTTCCTGCGGGATGGGATGCCTGGGTCTCCCCTATGGTCTGGGGGTTGCAGCCCACCTAGGACAGGCAGGATGGCCAAGAGGAGGCATCTGTCCAGGCATCCCACTGCAGCCTCTGGAAAAGGGCTACCAGGGGCGCACCATTTCTGGAGGTTCCCTTCCTTTGCCCTCCGGAGCCAGGTGATCCCATCCCGGGGTGAAGAGGGGGCTGGGGTTGCCAAGAGCCCGGGGGGAACGGCTGGCAGCCCCCTCGTGCCCCCCTCCTCGCGACCGGTCGGCCCCCGAGGCTCCGTCCCGGGGGGCCGGGGCCGGCCCTGGAGCGGAGCCCAGACGGGGCGGGGGCCGCGGTCGGACCGGCCCCATCCCTGGGCGGCAGGTCAGGGGCCCACGCCCCGTTCTGGCCGTACCGGCTGCGGGGCCGGGGCCGCTCGGCGCGGGTCGGGGCGGCGCGGGCGGCCCCGGACACGGGCACGGCGCGGGGCGGGCCGGGGCGGAGCAGGGCGGCACGGAGCGAAACTGCTCGGGGCTGCACGGTACGGCTCTGCTCGGCACGGGACGGCTCGGTTCGGCACAACTCAACACGTCTTGGCACGGCTTGGGTCGGCACGGCTCGGTACGGCTCGGCTCGGTGCGGCTCGGCTCGGCACGGCTCGGTACGGCTCGGCCCGGGCCGCCGGCACTCGGCCGGACGCTGTCGCTCGGTGCTGCTGCGCAGCCTGCGGGGACCAGAGGTCCCGCCCGGGGCCGCCGGCAGGACCGGCCCGGCGCCGGCGGGGAGCGCGGCTGTCACGGGAGCGGCGGGGGCTGAGGCGCGCGGGGCCCGGGCGCATCGGGGGTGTCCTTGGTGCGGGTGGCCGGTCTCACTGCTCCAAAGCCCCGGTGGTCAGAGCGTGTTTATGCCGTCCCCGTGGGTGCTGCCTGTGCTGTGGTGCTGGGACATGCCGTGGGTCATGCCCGTGCCCCGTGGGCAGGGTGACTGGGTGCGGGCAGCGCGTATGTCCCGCGGTAAGGGGCGCCCGGCAGATCCGGAGCTTTGTGTGTGCCGCCTCGGGGCTGTACCACACCCCAGTTGTGCTGTGTGTGGGCTGCGGGAGGCCCGTGGGCCGAGCTGCTGGTTACAGGGGCCGGTGGAGACTCGGGAATATCATGAAGACCGAACTTGCTGTAGCTGTTGGAAGGGAGGATGGATAGAGGGATGTGAGGCAGGAGGGCTGGCGCGGCTGGAGGGATGATTCTCTCTTCACTGCTGGTCTTGAGTCTTCTCAGCTGCTCTCAAGGGAACCCGCAGCTAAGCCAACCCCCTGTCTCTAGCAGGTCCAGGCAAGCTGGCTCCCTGCTTCAGTGTGCCTGGGACCCTTGACCCACCACCCACACTGCAGTCCTCAGACCCACTGCCCCGCCTCTGCCCCGTCAGGGCTGTCCAGACTTCAGGCTGATGACTGATGTCTGCGAATTCCTCTGGGATCTTTCCCTCCTGTCTGTAGCTGGTCCCTCCCAGGGCTGCCCCTCTGGAGCCCAGGGCAGCTCAGAGCAGAGTGGGCAGAGCTGAGGGCCCTGCCATGTCCTGAGGAGGCTGGCTGGGGGTAGGAGCTGCAAGGAGCTGTACTGTGACCTGCCCTGGCAGAACACTGGGGCATCAGGTAGCCCAGAGGGGCTGGACCTGGAGATGCCAAGAGAAGAGAAGTACAGCCCCAGCCCCACACAGTGCTCTGCCCCCACTGACACCTGAAAGCCAGTGTCCTTTCCTCAGCAGGATCCCTGTCCCTGCTTGGGATGGGGGCACACAGTGGGTGATGGGGCAGGAGCCCTGCTTCCAGGGCAGTGAGGTGCAGCGAGCTCCCAGCCAGCGGGAGGTGACGCCAAGCTTGCCGGAGTGGCCAGGTTTCTGTGGTGACCCTGGGCTGTGACCCTGGGCTGCCCCCCGGTGCTTCTGAGACCAGTTTGTTTGTGGCATCCTGCTCCCCTCCAGACCTTGGCAGTGTTGACCCTGGAGCTTTGATCCAGCAAGGCCCTGCAGGCAGGGAGCCAGCAGGTCCCCTCCTGAGCGGGGTAAGGATGTCGGGTCTCCCCTGTTTCATGCAGACATGCTCATAGCATCCCAGGGCTGCTGGGAAGCAGGAAGAACGAAGCAGGCTCATCCAGGCAGCTGGATTGCGAAAGGCCCAGCTCTGGTCTGTGCGTGCCGGGGCCTTGGGGAGAAGGGGAGGGATGGAGTGCTGAAGCCATGGGACTCATCAGACCTTCTCCTGCCCTGAGTGCTGGGGACGTGACCTCATGCTCTGAGGGATGTCCTGGCACAGGCCTCAACAGAGTGTGACTCTGTCACCCCTTAACGTTCCCAAGGAAGGATAAACAGAAAGCTTCCTCCCCCTTGTGTTGGCGGGTTTCCCAGGTCCTTGGTCACTTGTGCTGCTCTTCTCCCAGTCCTCCCATTTGTCAGTGCCTGGGATGTTCCATGTTGCCGTGCATGCATCCAAGGCTGCTGCTGAGTGAGCACATTCCTCTCAGGCCAAGATGTCTGGCCCTTCCCTACTGCTGTGTCTTGGGATGTCATCCCCATGCCGCAGGGATGCCCGGTGCTGATCAAATATGCGGACTTGCCCAGGGACCTGCTTCACCAGGGGCTGCCTCTTCCCGAGATCCATTCACTGGGGTTTTGCTGGGGCAGACTAACGTCCCTACCTGTGCCTAGTGAGTGCCAAATGACAAACCCCATTTGAACAGTCCTTGGGAACTTGCAGTCCCCTCTGGGCCCCGGGCATCCCCGCTTGGCACTGCTTACCCTGCCAGCCCCTGTGCAGGACACCTGGGGGAGCAGAGTGATGGTGGGGTCAGTGCCTGGCCATGAGGGCTGCAGGCCCTAGCAGGGTGACTGTCTGGGGGGGCATGGGAGCTGCCGTCACTCATTGGGTCAGGCAGAGCCAGCGGGCTGGCATGGGAGCAGGGAGAGCAGTGCTGTGGCTCCTGCTGCCCTCTGGGGCTGCCCTCTGCTCCAAAGGGTCCACGTGCCCGTGCCAGCCTCAGCAGCTCAGGGCTGAGGTTGAGGGGCGAAGGGAACCCTGGGGTTTTGCCTCTGCAGGGCTCTTGGACACCCTGCCACTAGTGCCAGCTGTGCCTCGGGCTGGGGGATGTGGCTCGGACCCTGTGCACACCCAGCTGGGACATTCCTGAGGTTTCCTGGGCAGTGGCAGGGATCTGGGCTGCTTCCCGGCTCCCACGCCCAGTGCTCACTCCAGCCAGCCCATCCTCCCGAGCCCTTTCCCCTTGCAATGGAGTGCTGCTGTGCATCTGTGCCCAGGGCAGCACGCTGAGCATGGCACAGCACAAGCCCTGGCCCAAGAGGAGACTGTCCCTGGCTGGAGTGGGCAGCTGGCAGCGGGATGGTTGGGGTGCTGGGGTGGGCTCCCCATCCAGAGCAGCAGGCAGGACCGGAGCAAAGCCTGCCAGCGGAGCAAGCAGCCGGGCAATGTCACACAGCTGGAGAGGAGCAAACGCACAACTTGTGCCTCTGAAAATGGAAAAAGTGATGTGGACAAAGAGAGCCCTGTTAGCCTGACTGCCCGGGACACAGAAACGGAGCGTGTTCAGAGAGGGAGGTGGTACAGAAACGGGGGAGAAGCCGTGCTGTGCTGCAGGGAGCTCACTCAGCTCCGCCCAGCCCAGCAGCTGTCCTGGGCCGGGCACGCCAAGGGCTTTGGCCTGCACAGACCTGAGCAGGGCATGTCACTGGGAAACTCCGAGGTGAGTGGCAGAGCTGAGGTGCCAGGGCAGAGGAAGTGCAGTGGGGATGAGGGACACCGGGGCCTGAGCAGAGTTGAACTTGGACCTGGGAAAAGAAATTAGAGACCCTGGAGGTTACGCTGCTAAGTCTCAGTGGGGACTCGGTGCTTTGCTGCACAAAACCCAAGCACTTTCTCAGGTGCCGCGTTCTGGTCTCTGGTCCTACATGCTTTGCTCCTCAGTGCACAGGCTTAAATTTTCCTTGTAGCCAAGGATATAGGCTGTACGATGCTGCATTACTGGGCTGTCCAGGTCTGTCCCTGTCCCCATCCCTGCTCCCTGCCCCATTTCTATCTCTGCAATCTGTACCAGGAGGGGACTTTTTTCATCCTCCTGGCTGTTTTGCTTTGAAAAACATGTGATCCTCACCAGAAAGCCCACGGAATAGTGACTTCCCCACATTTTATTTCCAGCTGGTGACCAGTCTTAATCCACTTAGCAGAAGGTGCACTGATTTTGTTGAGTGCTAATTATTCCTTAAAAGGTGGTGCAAGATGAATTGAATGTCTTCCAGTCTCAGCCTGTTATATCAACACAGTTACTCCAATTAACTGAACCTGTGATCTCATGAAAGGCCATTCCCACTTCCTGACAGGGGCTATTTCTGCCAAACTGTGGAGAATGGCATTAATTGTGCTGCTGTCCTTTAGGGTTGTACTGACCCCATTGTGCAACAGCCTGGTGACTGCCCACAGCCACAGCAGAGCATCCTGCTCACTCAGGGCAAGAGCCAGGGAAGCTCCAGTTCTTGTGTGCTTGCAGCTTTCCCCATGTCACTAGGTGACAGTTGGCACTGAGGGGGCCCAGATTTGTGTGTCAGGATAGCTCTGAGGGTTTACAATGCTTCCTTTGGGCAGGGCAATGTCCCCTTGGTGACCGATGGCCGGAATAAGAAGTTTTGTTACTTCTATGAGTGGTAAACTCATCTCTTTGCTGCTTTCCAGGTCATATGGAGATGAGGATGGAGTGTTCCCATCCCATACCCAGAAACCCCCTTTCCTAAGCTGCTAGCAGGGCTAGGATTGCTCTTTACACCCCCCCCCCCCTTCCTCC